GGTAGCACTCTGTTTTTACCAAAATGATGGTAGGTTTTAGCAGGGTCCCTGCTGGAGATGTTTGTTCTTGCACTCATGGGGATGAAAAAAGTGTTTATTTTCTCATCTTCCTTAATGTAATTCTGAACATGCAAAGCATTAGAACACCAAAGTAAGGATAAGCTAAGCCTTCACATGAGACAGACACACAGATGGTCTTCATGAATAATATAAAGAGTTTTGCTTCTTAGAGGCATATGCAATTTGTAAAAGGGTAGTTAAGGAATCTGAAGTTGGCTTGTGTATGCTCCAATTCTTTCCCTCATCCCTGCTTTAATTTAATGTTTCATTTAGTGTGCATGAATGCATCATTCACAGAAGAGGACAATTCACACTTTGTCCCTAAACTTTGCTCTGTATGTAATTGCCCTAGATTTTAAAGATTTTGATCCATAATAAAATCACTGTAGCAAATTTGAGGAGACTGGATGGTATAAAAATGTGTATGCATGTATAAAAATGATTAAGGTCTGCTATACCACACTGATACAACTGTAATTATGGTTTTATTGCAACTTTTTAAATGACTTGAAAGCACTAAAAATCTTTGTAAATGACATCTATCTCAGATACTAATTATGTATTACACCCAAGGGTGTTTTGCAAATACTGTTGCAATAGCTGTCTCTACATAAATTTGCTTACCTCTAAAATAATTTACCTTTCAGTTGCTGCAAATAAATCTAAAAGTCTTTCATAGAAGTGTAGTTTCACTGGATTAACCATAGTGGTTTCATTTTCCAGCGGAATTTGAATGGTGTGCCAAGACACCCATGTTTTAAAATAATTATTGGGGACAAACAGGAAAATGGTCAGTCCCACTGTTATTTCTTAATGAGAAATATAGCATGCCACCCTTCAAAACAAAAGCTTACAGTATTCTAAAATTACAATTACAAAAATTAAAACAATGATTTAAAGTGTACAACAAAGATCAATTAAAGATAAACAGACATAGATTGGGAAAAATCCAGCTGTAGTGTAAATATTAAAATACTAACATAATAATATACTAAAAGATCCAGGATACAAAAACAGATATTCTTGGTACCAAAAAGACAATAAGTGTTAAACCTTCGCAACCCTAAGGGCATCCCAAAAGCAGGAGACCAACACTGAGGAGGCCCACTGATTGAACATTGGGGAGGTATGTGGAGTAGGGTCTCAGCATACAATCCTAAAGTTCTAGTAGGAACATACAAGAAAGTGTATTCTTTGAAACTCTGAATTCCTAAACTGACTGGTGTAATTGGTTAATACAGTATCTTGAATTTATATCAGAAACAAAATTGGAACCACTAAAAATAGTATAAAGCTAGCTTAGTAACTCTTGTAGCATCTAGCTCCAGTTAATAGTTTTGTTTATAAATATGCATACGTACTCATCTCAGTATCTCCTTCCAAAACAAGCAACATGGTTATGCAGCCATGTCTGTATTCTGATTAAAACATTCTTTTGTTATTTCAATGCCTCTTTTTTTGCAGGGTAGCCTCATGTATAATGCCTTTCTAAGCAAAAGATTACCATGGCCTACATTTCTAAAATGGGTCTGTCTCTATCCACATGCAACAAGGAATCTAGAATGAAAACTTAGTTTTTCAAGGGCCGCATACACACACACACACACAAAGTAGACCACCATTCCTAGCAAATGTGACTACTTGGCTGGCTAGTCTTGTGAAAGGAAATTTGGATTAAGTTGTACATTGATGAGATCCAATAGGAAAGTTCTTAAAAGGTTTATGTCAAATGGTGGGTTTTGGATAGTTAAATATTCTAGAAAGCATTCTGTAATATAATATGAGTAACTAAAGTGTTTATATTGGCACTCGAATGGTTTTTGATAATTTGCTTTCTTTCATTCCTTGCAGCCATCTTTCAACAGTTCTGGGAAACAAGTTTGACCATGGAGCAGAAGCCATTGTGCCTACTCTATTTAATCTGGTCCCTAATAGCGCCAAAGTAATGGCTACTTCTGGGTGTGCAGCCATTAGATTTATTATCCGTGTAAGTATATTTCTGTGTTACTTTAAAAAACTACTTCCATATTAGGCATGTAATTTATTGATTACTTATGGGCGTTTTAAATTCTGGGTATTAACCAAACATTATTTTCTGCAAAATAAACAGTACATTTGAAGTGTATATGACAATCATCTATGGTAATAAAAATGCTTTCTTTCAAAGGAAAAAAATGCAAATACAATAACTTAAAATGAAGGTATGGGTAGTCCTCAAATTATGACAGTAATTGGGACTAGAATTTCCATCACTAAGTGATGTGGTCGTAAAGTGCGACCGCATCACTTAGCAACAGCAATTCCTGCAGTCCTGGTTGCCGTTGTTAACCAAATCCCACAGTCATTAGGTGATGCAACTTCCTGCTGGCTTCCCACAACCAAAGTCAGTGGGGAAGCTGGCAGGAAGTTGCAAGTCCCAGGCCTGCAAGCAGATAAGTCATTGCTGCCAGGTGGGGGAGGGAGTGAGAGAGCGCGGGAGAGGGTCAGGGAGGGTGTGCGAGAGGTGCAGCATGGCATGGGGAGAGTGCACAAGGGTGCATGAGGGTTTGAGGGAGAGTCGGGGAGGGTGTGAGGGGGTGTGCAAGTGGCTGGTATGGTGCAAGTGCAGAAGGGCTGGGAGAGCGTGCACAGGTGGGGGAGACTTACCCCAGCAACCTGTGATCTACTCTACTGGTTTTCCCATTGATTTTCTGGGAAAGCCTGCAGAAAAGGTTGCAAATGACGATCATATGATTGCAAGGTGCTTGGCAACCGGTCGTAAGTGCAAATGGGTTGCCAAGTGCCCAGATTGTGATTACATGACCATGGGGGTGCTGGGATGGCCAGAATGCTGAGGACTGGTCATAACCATTTGTTCAGTGCTGTTGTAACTTTCACTGAACAAGTTGACCAAAAGGTCATAGGTCAAGGACTATCTGTAGTTTACATTAAGTGTCATGTAAACATGGTATGCACGGAGTCCCAGTCCCCTGTAATTCAGTATCTACTGATGAGGTTTGAATTGTCTGTTTCTGTTTAGGGAAACATTCATCCAATGGAAATAAGCAGCAGTAAGTTTTGAGTAGGCATAGGAAGTGCTATTTCACAGAAACTTTAAATGTGAAATTCATTGTCACCAGCTATGATTGGAGTCTCAGACTGGGATGCCACTTAAAATGTACTAGCCTTCTCTTTCATGAGTGGTTCCTTTCTGAGAGGCTATTAACTATAAAAGCTGAACAGCAGTATGCTACCATAAAATAGATGGTAGGCATACATAACAACATGATAGGAAGGTTGTGGCCTTCGTATCCTATGTCTAGATTTTTGGGCAGACATTGGCTGAACAGTGTTATAAACATGATGATCAGCTAGATAAATCCCCTGGCATGATCTAGTGGTATACTGTAGTTGGAACAAAAATGTGCATTGATTAAACTTAAAGATACCATTTGTATAGTCTTCAGCATTTGTTGAATCCATTAATCGGCTGGCAGAAATAGCAGTGATAAAATATCTAGAAATGTATTGATCTGCACTTGATCATTTATGTTGTATTTTATTTGCTTATTTTAATAGCTCTGTGCAGTGTCCTGAGAAGCAATTGTATAAAATACTGTGTGTGATATGACCCTCCAGATGCATCTGGCATCATCTTAAATAGCGTAACATGGTTAGAAAGGGGTTAGAATATTTTCAGCTTTATTAAAAGCATAGTTGTACCAGTCAGTAAAGTTTATTTTTCTGTATTTACCACATATATTTTACTTTATAGAAATTGATATTATTATAAGAGAAAAAATGTTGCCTAAATACTAGTTAAATTTATGCTGGTTCTGAAACCCTTTTCTTTCTACTACCAGAATGGGGCTTTAGTTGTTACAGATGTTAATTTTGAAACACATTTGCTAATTATATCGATCAATAAACATAAAAGAAGAGGGGATTTTTGAACTTAATGTTCTGCAGTATTTCAGTCAGAATGCCCTCTTTTTATATTCATTGAGTGTGTTGGAAATGTAATAGAATACACATTTTATAAGGGAAAATTTAAGTACCACCACCTGGTTTATTAAAATTGTTTTTTACTTAGAGTAAAAATTGAACTTAAGCCCTCTTGAAATCCCTCCTTGAGAGAAGATTGGATATACTTTTAAAGATATATATTTAAAGTGCTGGTTTTAATCTCTGAATTTGAAGAGTTTGAAATGTATCTACTAATACCTTAATATCTGTAAAAACCACATTCCAAATAGATTGCAAATGAAGTAAGGGAAATCATACTAAGAGCCTTTATTATGTTGTGTTTTAATACTTCATTTGTGAGCCACTCAAGAGATGGGTGTGTAGAGATTCATTTATTAAAATTCATGAATTCTGTTGAATCCATTCTGCTAGATTTCAGGGGATTTTTTTTTCACTTTTCAGCATACACATGTGCCGAGACTCATACCTTTAATAACCAGCAATTGTACCTCAAAATCTGTGGCAGTAAGGAGGTGAGAATTTTGAATTTAAATTTTGAATGTTACATTGATCAGTTTTGAAAAAATAAGAACTTTATCTCTAATAACAGTTTCAATCTCTGTAGCAATGTTATGTTATGAAATATATCAGTCCCAAAACTGTAATCTGGTAAGCACTTATCTAGGGGTAAATCTCACAAGTTCAGCAGGATATGTATATGAGAAAACATGGATAAGATTGCCCTGTAAATCTTAAATGCTAAAAATTAATGATAACCATATTTATAACTCTAGCAAAATCTTGATGATTTGAATGTTGTTTGTGTATACAGTTTGTTTTCAAAATGTTGCACTTTTAGAGAAAAATTATTGATTTTGTACTCTATAATCTGCCATAAAGAGCATTTTAGGGTATGTTAATCAGGCATAATTTCAAAATAAGATAAAGGGTAATCAATATTGAGAATGGCTTTTGCCATAAAATACAGTTTCATCTAGGAGGGGTATTTCTCTGAATTCTGGTAAAGGACTAGTCTGACATCATTGATAATTGAATTAAGTTTTTAAAAGTAACCTCTAGTGTCAAAGCTAAATACATTCTTTATGTTATCTGAGTATAGGTCTTGATTAAAACTTCAAAGTATGCTAAAAAAAGAAGCTGAGTGAAAGCATCAGAATAATGTTTTAATACTTTAAATGATTGCTTCTCAAGTTACATGAACATTTGAGTAGTTACATTAAGATTCAGGTTGGAATGAATATTTAATGATACCTGAACAAAGTCAGTACTGATATTTATCAATGTCGGCCATGATATTGAAGTTGAGAATATGTTTAATAGTCATTACTCCACATAGGAAGAGACCAAAAAGTAATGGGAAAATAAAGTAAGAATTCTTTGTTTGTCTCCAGTAGTCATTATGCTGAACCTTAATTTTATTTTTCCTGTTTGTAATAAAGATATTATAGGTTTCTTATGATTAAATTTAGAGCTGTATGGACCATCCAGGTCTACTTCAAAGGGATCTATAATGACTCAGCTATCTTGGGGGGTGGGGTTAATGCAAAGGGATGAAGAAACCATGATGCCTCTTTCTAACTTCAGTACAGTTGTTTGTCAAATTCCTGGACTTCTAGTAATTAAAGATTTTTGACATGTTAGAATCTTTACCTTCTGCAACTAATTCAAATAAATTTAGAATTGACTTTAAGCCTTGTCTTTTCCAGGCGCTCTTTTGAATTTTTAGACCTATTGTTGCAAGAGTGGCAAACCCATTCTTTGGAAAGGTATGATTTGTGTCTCTTTTTCAGTTCAGAATAATGGTTCCTTACTTATGAAATAAGTTTCTGCTGTATTTTTAAAATACAGAAGTATTTTGTGTGTTTCATAATAATTACAAGACCTTTCTAAAAACACAACATGATCTGGAGCTGAGAGACAATATGTGTGTGTGAGAAAGAGATAAACATATGTTCATATTAATGCACACATGCAAGAAGTACTTGAAATAGTTTAATGAAGGAATGTTCATACAAGTAATCTAAGTGAACTATTTAAAAAAATTAATTGCATGACATTGTGATGATATACATTCTTCTAGTTTGTATGAGGTCCCTTCAGAACCACGGATGTGATCCGATGAAAAAAGTTCTTTAATAGAGGAACCAATACATCCTAATTCTGGTTGGCTCACATTAAAGACTGGAGGCATTGTTTGTTATCTTTTCCTCCATCTTTTTCCCTGTTTTCTCTTCCATTGATAGGGTAGAGATAGGAAAAATAAGTATACCAGCTTTTCTCTATGTAGTTTGTGAATCTAATAATTAAACACGTTGAGGAAATGAAGTGCTTTCGATCAGATATTGCCCCAAGTATGTCTATTTTGGGTTGTATTGCTAGCAGGAACACAGCCAGTGTTCTGTATTTTACTGGACTGAATCTGGGCACGTGTGATCCCACAACAGACTAGCAGTTTTCCATATATTTTAAACTCCTCTGGTAGTCTTTCCAGCTTTTAGATGAATTTGATTGTCATCTTTATGCAGGGGCATTGAGGTAATAAAATGTTTTTGTACTGGTTAGTTCAGTTTTTCATACTTCCTGCAAAAATAATAATAGTTCACATAATTTATTATTATTATTGTATACACAACAATGTGAAATCACAACTGCCAGTTCTTTAGCTGGCGTTGGCCTTCATTCACATCGAATTCTTCCCAAGAACCTATAGGATGTCATAATGAATCAGAGTAGTATATGTGCAGATCCAAGCAGTGTGGCCTTTTGTAATTAACAGATGGAAATGCTGTCAATGCGCAAATTTTCTAAGTGTTGTCCAAGGTTTTTGGGTATGCCGATAACCACTGGGACCACCACTGCCGGTTTATGCCATATCTTTCAACTTTGGTTTTCAGATCTTGATACTTTATTTTCTTCTCCAATTCTTTGTCTTCTATTCTACTATCCCCTGGTATTGCTACATCAATTTATCTACACTTTCTTCTTTTCAACCACAATTAAATCTCTATGTAATGAGCCAAAACTTTAACAGTTTGTATTCAGAAATCCCACCGTATTTTAACCTGCTCATTTTCGACTACTTTTTCTCCTATATGTTCCCACCAATTTTTCATTACTGGCAGGTTATAATTTTTACAGATGTTTCAGTGAATCATCTTGGCAACTGTATTATGTTTCAAATTTATTATAGCTGCCCAACTCCAACAGACTTTAATTTCTAACAGCATCTTCTTAACAAACTATGAAATCACATTCTGAATATTAACTTCATGATTATCATCTCAGTATAGTATAGTGCTAAAATTGCTTTTGCCATCAAAACATTAGAGCTATAACAGAATTCCCCTCCTCTAAAGATACATCACACTTATAGAAATTCAAATTTTATTTTGGTACCGGAGTAATTACGTCCTTTTCTCATTTTTGTCAGTGATTAGGCAGAGAATTGTAACTAGTTTTTAAATATTTCCTAGAATAGAATTTGTGCACACCCATACATACATACCATTCCTTTCCTACCTGACTCAAGATCATATTAATCCTTCTCAAAACTTCATTTTTTTCTGGTTACCTTTTGACTTTGTTTTTCTCTTCTTTTCTAAGATAGTTTTTTAATACTCCTTTAAAAAAAAAAATTACATAAACATTACAACAAAGAAAAATGTAAAAAATAAATCTGCAAATATTGCCTATCTGTATATAACCTCTGTACTACACCAGGGACATTATCTTAATCCTAAGAGACATTGTAAATTTTCTCATTCTAAATCCTTGAAGATTTAGAATGAGAAAATATACTGTATATATCACCAAGCAAGCAGTAGCTCATCTCCAAGGAATCAGAGTAGTGCAATCCTTTCTTATAAAATGTATTTATTGTCCTTTTCTTGGACAAATGTTGAGACTGAGGGCCATCCTAAAATATATGAAAATTCATGATTTTCATGAATTATGGAATTAACATAAAGTTGTTTCCATGAATTATTTCCATGAATTATGAAATTAGCATGGAGTTGTTTCATGGTCTTATGTTCACTCTGAAGAATTACTGTGGTTTCTTTCCAAGATGTCATTGCCAGAACTTCCCTCTGTATACTCTAGTTACATCGTAGTTATGGCAGTTAATCAAGTGAATGAAGAGCTTACTGCATAATGTTGAGGAATTTTGTCAGTTGGAACAGCAGTTCTTTGAGATTCCATGCAAGCAAGTTAGCATAAAATTCCTACTCACAGGTAATTCATTGGAATTGCATCCTGATGATAAGTACTACACCAAAGGTACATAACCATCACACTAACAGGAAGATTTGCTGTTTGTATTATGGGCTAAAATCAGTATTTTTTCATAACAGCATTTCACAATGGGGCTATTTCCCAGTGTTGTAGCAGAATTGTTGTCTGCTACAACACTGGCAAATAGCTTCAATCCATAATCCTCTTCGTCTCCTGAGTAAACCAAGAGCTTCCAAATTTCTTTTCCAGATTTCCTGCAAAAATCAGGGCAGAAACATCTTGGCCTCAAGGATTTCATTATATCTACCCACCAGATCTCTCCCAATAAAGGTGTTGCCCAAAAGCAGAGAAATGCTGTCTTTTGCATGAGGTCCAAGACATTTCTTCCAAAACATTTCAAAGCATCCATAGGCCTAGTCCCTAAACTCATTCAAAATGATATGAACACACCTATACAACCACACACTCGAACACAAAATGGGACATCAGTATTTAGTGTTTAAGTGACTTCTGCTCTGCAGAGATTTACTGACATTGGTTGCCCAGATTCCAATGAAGTCTGAGTTGAGTTTAGCTCCCAATACATGGACATACCCATGCAGTTTTCTTGGCAACAGTATGAAAGTGGTTTGCATTGTCCATATTAGTCCAAGTACTAATTAGGGCCAATTAGCTACCAAGGCTGGCCAGGTGCTACTCTCTGCTAAGAACCTTTCTTCATTTATTATCTAATTTTTTTCAAGAAACAGTAACTCCTCATATGAAATAAGATAAATTAGAAGTAATATTTCTTTCTGTTTTTCTCTTACAGGCATGCAGCTGTTCTGGTTGAAACTATCAAGAAGGGCATTCATGATGCTGATGCTGAGGCAAGAGTGGAGGCTAGAAAGTAAGAATAATTCAAAGATTGGCTTCACTAATTTTGAAAGTATTGGTGCTTTTCACAGAAGAGAATAGCTTATATTTTAATGGTTATGGTTCTTTTTCATTCTAACTGTGCTTGGACACACAGCTTTGTGATGCTGAGACTTTTCTCATCTGTTTTTTTAATGTTAAAAACATGTATGTGGTTTCTTTCAGGACTTATCTAGGCCTAAGAAATCATTTTCCTGGCGAGGCAGAAGTTCTGTATAATAGTCTTGAACCATCCTATCAAAGAAGTCTCCAGACCTACTTAAAGAATTCTGGTAGCATTGCATCACTTCCACAATCAGACAGGTCATCCTCCAGCTCGCAAGAAAGTCTCAAGTAAGTGTCAGTTTAGAAGAAAATACTGTTGTCTATATGATCTATATACAATCTACTTCAGATTAGGGCTCTTTTCTTGAACTTATTTCCACCTACTGAATCAGAAACTATAGATACTGTCAGCCTTGCAAGGTAGTCTAGACAAGAAGCATACCCAGAAGTACTAGCTCTAACTTTATTGTAAGGTTACATTAACAGAATCTTGCAAGTCAGAAAGTACATCTCTCCCCCCTTGCCTTTACAACCTAAGAAACTAGGCAGGGTCCCTTCTGAGACGTTTGCCACACCCCCATTCCTTCTGTGGAATCAGCTGCATCTTATCTGACTGTTTACTAGTCTGCAGCTCTTCCTCCTGTCGCCCAAGGTCGTTCCCACATACCATTACAGATATAAATCAGATGCACCTTTAATGTAATGTATCCTCACTGCCTTATAGGATCTATATTTGAATGTGCATTCAATACTAGATAGTCATATGAAAGTCTTTAACTGGTTTTGTGAAATAAACAGAATTGAGCTACTCAGGAAAGTGTTCCAAGACTTTTATAACTCCTCTGTCATATCCATAGCAGAATGATATTAGCAAATAATGTTTCCTAACATATTTACCTATTAGAGCTTTTATACAAATTTATGAGTATTGAATAGAACAGGAAAGTGTTTACTCTTTTGAAATGTGTAATGACTTGCATTACTAAAACTATTACTTTTAATTTTGTTTCAGTCGTCCCTTCTCTTCAAAATGGTCCACCTCCAGTTCTGCAAGTATGGCTGGCAGAGGTAATTTGCTGTATACCCCTAAAAAGCTACCCAGGGTATCAGACTAGATGAAATTTGGAAATTTCAGAAGTGATTTATCAAGAGAAAATTTTTGAGGGATTTTTTTAAGTGTCAGGATGACATGGGAATCTTAATATGCAGTTTCCTGTTTTCTCTCAGTTTCAAGTGGGAGCAAGGCTGCTCCAAGCCCAGGAACGCTGCAAAGGTCTCGCAGTGACATTGATGTTAATGCTGCCGCTGGGGCAAAGGCACGTCACGCTATTGGTCAGCCAGCAGGAGCTGGTCGCTTAGCAACAGCTGGTCTACCTCCAGGATCATACGCTTCATTAGGTAGGAAACATGTTCATTATATAATAAACCACTTATCAGAATTCTTCCTGTATATTGAAATGGTATTTTCTATTCATTTACAGTTATGTCAGTGAGATATCTAATTTTGTGAATAAAGAATTACCTAGCAATGAAAACATTTATTAATTCATAGTAAATAAGAAGATATTGACACTGCTTTTTCCATATTACTCAGTGTTTTGTTGTTAAGCTGAACAGTTTTGGAGCTAAGAAGAACTTTCTAATGCAGACAACACTTTCTTAAAAATCAATACATGTTTAACCTGGCTAGGACTTTTTTCTAAATAGTTGGCATAGCATTGTACTATTAACTTTTGTTTCCTTTAGCAGAGAGTAGAGAGTACAGGGTAGAACTATAAAATATCTGTTGCAGTTATCTTTCTCAAATCTGAAGAAATTGTTGCAGAAATCCTTCATTTTAATTGATAGCTCCTGAGAAAATGTGTATGAATATCTAATATTTATTTTGTGTATGATCTGCAATTTTAATACTTAATTAGTGGATACGTTCTCCTCAGCCACTATTGCAGTCACTTTTCACTATCTGCTCAAATCATGTAATTGTGCATTCAGCATTTTGGATCATTCCTAATTATTTGAATTAGTTTTAATAGAACATTGGGTGGGCAAACTTGCAACACGGATAAACTAACTTGTATTTGTCATATGTTTGGTCTCTAAGATACTGAAAAGCCAGTCTTGGCATATGAATTTATTGAAGGAGTCAGCAATGCTAATATCAAACGTAGAAGGAAGTAAACAAAACAGTACGAGAAACTAACTTGATTAATAAAGAGGGGTTTTTTTATACTTTTTATACTTCTGCTTAATAAATTAGGAAATGCATTACTCTCTTTTCTTGTGTTGAAAATTATTGCATCATATACTATTTTTTCTCATTCTTGTGTTAGTAAAATTGTGGAATTCTTGCACAATGAAAATTATAAACATTTATATTCTTTGCAAGAAAAGGGGGAATAAAAGTCATGCCAATCCCCTTTTTATATTAAGGTACAGGCAGTACAAAATTTGATAGATATGTAGAAGTGTGTTCAACTTTCTGGAAGAGAATTTGCAGTGGCTCAGTGTGGGGTTTGATGTCATTATTTTAAATACTTTTAAATGAGATCAGTTGAATGTATGAGCCTTAATCTAGAATTGTAATTATCATAGCAGTAGTCAGTGCATACGTCTGGGTTATAACTCCCAGATGCTCAGATTGGTATAGTCATTTGAAAGAAAAGGTGCATATCATCTTTACCCTATAAGAAGGTCAGAATTTCTCCCCAACTACCTGTAGATTAGGGTGAGGGAATCCTCTTACATTTGCTGATAACAAAGTAACAGGAAGAAATGATAATTATTGCAGATATAGTTTTTGAAGAACTAATTTCAAATCAGTTGTATTCCCTTCTTCCTCATTAAGGCAAAAGCTGCCTTGAGTTTTTCCAATCAGCAGCTGTATGAGAGAGAGAAAGGTAACACCTTCCACTCAGGCCATGTCCATCCTGACTTTTTAAAAACTGTTTTGTTGTTTCTGCTGGAAACACACAGTGGAATGGGTGTTTTGATGTGAGTGTGTGGGGGATAGTATAGTATATTAGTATATAGCCATTCGGTGGCTATATACAAATGGAAATCAATTAATTTTATAAATGAAATATATTACTTTACAGGCAATTTGTATGAGCCTGTATGAGCCTCACCCTGCCCTATTTTTGAGCGGAGGGAGGTGGAATGTGACATAGGAGGTACAGTGGTACCTCGGGTCACGAACTTAATTCGTTTGCGACTCTGGTCGCGACCCGAATCAAATTTTCCCATAAGGTTCAATGTAAATACGGTTAATCCGTTCTGACCCCTACGAATTTGGTCGCCAACCGATTTTGGTTTACAACCGAATCAAATTTTCCCATAAGGTTCAATGTAAATACGGTTAATCCGTTCTGACCCCTACGAATTTGGTCGCCAACCGATTTTGGTTTACAACCGAATCAAATTTTCCCATAAGGTTCAATGTAAATACGGTTAATCCGTTCTGACCCCTACGAATTTGGTCGCCAACCGATTTTGGTTTACAACCGAATCAAATTTTCCCATAAGGTTCAATGTAAATACGGTTAATCCGTTCTGAACCATATGTATTTTTTTTTAAACCACAAAAATATGACACAAAGTACAGTACACTATGAAGAGAGAGAACGCTAACCTTCCTTGAGGCATGGAGGACAGGAAGGCGGGTGGGGAGGCGGTTATTGTTTGGAGGGAGAGTTCCCCTCCCTACAGGAAGCCATGACCATGTGTCACGGCAGGGAAAATGGCCGCGGATCCTGTTCGTCACCTGATGCGGAGTTCGCGAACGGAAGCAAAATTTTGCAAACGGTGCTGTTCGTGACCCGAGGTACCACTGTATTTATTGGTACTGTATCTATATGTCCTTGAAAAAACATTTACTGGGCTGGGAGAGAGATTACTAGGATTGGTTTCAGGTTGAATTAATAAGCCTAAATTGACAATGTTGGAAAGCTAGGTGTTGCATATAGGTTTTGTTTGTGTTTGTTCATTTGTTTTTATTTATTGTCTATTTTTCTTTTGGGGAGGAATTGTTTTTAGCATCATCTTTTCAGGTAAACATGGTATATTATTCCACAAATGAAAGAGAACAACATACAACCTAAGTAGATTTATTTTATGTAGGGTCTCTTCTTCTCCTGTCCTTTAGCATTAAAATTCCAGTTTAATGTACTTTATTGCCTCAGACTTTATATCCACTGATTATTTTGTTTGTATTAAAAAAAAAAAATTATTGTTGTAAGCAAAATAATAGCCAAACTTTGGCTGTTCGTTGAAGGAATCGTGCTTACTACTTAATTGGTTTTTTATTAAAAAAAAAAAAAATCCACAGGGTTCCTATTCTACTATCTTTATTGTGATGAGATTTTCTTTCTTCTTTAGGACTGTGATCTCAAATAATTGTTCATTTGAGTAGAGTCCAAAGATAAACATATTTTAGTTCCATTGAAATCTGTGGAATGAATTTATTCATGAGTAACTTAAGTCCACTGATTTCAGGTGAGATAAAGCATGCCTAACCAGGTTTAGATCTAATCTATGAATCAGGTGAACAATTTTATTTCCCTTGGAAGATGGATTGGGGGAGGGGGTGTTCCTACCTCTCAGTGTCACATGAACCATGTCCAGTGATGTGTTGACTTTGAACAGAACCTTTTTACAGTAGTTTCTGCAGTTTGGTGGGTGGTTAAAATGCAGTTGTATGTTTGTATCTTAGATATTTAACATACTTTTTTGTATTCTTTTGGTGGTGGGAGAAATACAAAAAATTGGGCTGCTGAAAATTAGTAAATGTGTTGCCAAATATTGGCAATATACTCTAGGGGTGTTCTGGAGCCTGTAAAAATGGAGCTGCCTGTCCTTCAATAAGTCATGTGTGTAGATTTTTGGGTCAGACTCGGCTATCACTGTGTATTAGAAAGTAAAATTTAAAGTTAATAATTTTCAGATAGAATAAAGGGAAAAACAGAGTGGATTTAATTTTTAAAAAATAAATAGATTTTTAAGAAAAATGTGACTTTTAGCACCACATTCATATTTTTCATGACCTATGTGCAGCTCTATGTGCATTCTGCAAAAATAGTAGACCTCTGACTCTTTTTCAACCTGAACTGTTCAAACATCTATGTAATATTACGATGACAGAAATGTTGATAAAACTCTTCCTTTTTAACAAAATTAGTACTGATAGGATATTATGTCACATTAATAATTTTGGAATTGTTTGCTTGCTAAACGTAGTACATGAATCCAGTATTTTAAGTGTCTGTAAATTACTCATATTAATACATGAGTATTATATTAATTGCCTTAATGAAGGTTTTATGGTTCCTTTGTCAATACTGTGTCTAACACATTAAGTTTTCCTGTTTCTTTGCTTGCTCTTCCAAAAAAGAGGATACTTCTGATAAGATGGATGGTAAGACCCTGTTTTGTATGTCAGTTTCTAAAACAACTGATTTTGTGACCTCTGTACACGTAACAGATTCAGTTTGGATAACCCACTCATCTGATTTCTAACTAGTGTGATATTTTCTCATTAAAGCATTGATATATATGTGCGCTTCTAATACAGTGTTGCTTTAGACAAGATCTATTAATATGATGTACAGTATTGTCCATTTTTGCAGAAACTACTCTTAATACTTGAGCAACTAATGGTCAAATAGGACATACCTTCATTTTTCTTAGTAGCAGCAAAGTAGTTCAATTTAAATTGCAATATTTTGCCTTCTGTAATTGCTAACACATCTTACTTTGCATTTCTGAATAGCAGCATCTGTTTATATATGATTACAGGGTTTTCTTCGTGTATTGTTTTGCTTTCTTCCTTCTCTCCCCCCCACCCCCGCCCTTATTTTGCTGTATTCTGTGCTGCCCAACAGAATCGAGCTATGCTTTTGAAAAGCATCAGTGGGTGCAAGGTCTTTCAAATAAAGTTACCCCAAATTCTCACAGGATATTTTATTTTTTATTTGGTTTGGTTTGTTGTATTGTTTGTTTCTTTTTTAAAGTTTCCTGGATCTGAAATGGAAGTATTGCTATTATTTTTAAGCAGACTTTTTAGCCATTATATTTGATTTTATAAAATGTAAGCCTATATAGGTTTATCGCTTATAGGCTTACAGTGTGATATTTTCTCATTAAAGCATTGATATATATGTGCTTCTAATACAGTGTTGCTTTAGACAAGATCTATTAATATGATGTACAGTATTGTCCATTTTTGCAGAAACTACTCTTAATACTTGAGCAACTAATGGTCACATAGGACATACCTTCGTTTTTCTTAGTAGCAGCAAAGTACTTCAATTTAAATTGCAATATTTTGCAATTTAAATTGCAAAAGTTTTGCAATTAAATTGCAAAAGTTTTGCAAGTTCACTTTTGAAAAATCTGCTACTTTT